GTACTGTACAGCAAATTTAATTGCCAATAAAATGAATGCTTTTTATATTTATTTTTCCCCTAAACCCAACACATTCTTCGTAGTTACGATACCACTTGCTGGTCGGTTGGTTGCTGAAAACATCGAACATCAGGTCGCGCCTCCTAACCTCTGCCAGCTGGTTATTTTTTTTTTGTGGTGTCATGTGTAAACATGTGCTTGGCTGTGATGATGTCAGATTGCCCAAAGTTTCATTACGTGACAGCTTGCTGTGATAGAACGAACTCAGTGTATTTCACCTATATAAATTGAATGTAAATAAATCTAACGTTTTATTCTCTACAAATTTCCTCTCTAATTAAATTAGCAACATGTTTCTCAAAAGTGTCTTGTTTGAAGAATTAAGTGAAGCTATGCATTTGTAATTTACACTGACGAAGCAAACGACATCCAAATCCGAATAAACGTCTACTAAAAAAGTTTCAGGTTGATTCCAATCGATTTTTGAGGAGCGATAATGCACTTTATTAAACAATGGAAGGCGTAATTTTCACTTGATCTAACCATGTAACTTTAACGTTTACTGGTGTGTCGTTTTAAATCCATACATAATCTCTGGCAGCAGTATGCTATTGGGACTGAAAAAGCAGTACGAACGGTTCATTCACAGGGTGTTGTGCTGGGCCTACATTATTAATAATTGTTAATTCCAAGACAGCAATGTGATTATTGCGTTATTTCATCCAGAAATTGTTGTTTATTAACTGTTTGTTCAGTTTGTAGAAATTCGTACATTGTACACAAAAAAGTATAATGACCCACGATATCGGTATAAAGACGTTTTTCAGCCTAGGCCTAGCATCTTTTACGTGGTAAATAATTGCTGTAGTCAGCAAAAATTACGTCGGCATTTCGAGGGCTGTGGAGGTGAATTATTTTGAAATGTAAGGCGAGCTATTTTTCGCATCCCTCTATAGCAGTTTAGGTGCGTGATGGTGTGCGAGCGCGATCGCTCGCCTTAAATGACAAGGTCTGAGTACTATATGCATAATCAGCAGAGAGTACATATATATTAGCACTGGTATTTATTTATATCTGAGGATGGACATAAAATTCTTGAAACTGTGAAAGACAAATGAATTGCCAGTGTAGGATTCAAATCCTAACCTCGCAGTTGAAGCCTAAATCTTTTTATTGTCACAAAATTAAGCATTAAAATTGTTAAGGGATTACATTGAAGTTCATGCTAGTAAAAATCTGTGTTGAAAAATCTGTTAATTTCATGCACTATTAAGCAATTAGTAGAGCTGCTCATAGTGTAAATTGTTATATGAAGCTTATATTTAATGTTTGACAAATTTTTCTGAGGCCTGCAAGGCCTGAAGGGAATTTTTGAATGCATTAAATCTTACCTAAGTATGATAATTTTCAACCTAGAATAGGATGTATGCAGCTATACTAATTGCTTTATAAGCCAGTCGCTGTCTTTTAATGTTAGTTTTGATAATCAACTGTTGTAGCAGTCATCGGTTGCTATAGTGATATGATCATACTGCTGTGTATGCATTACATTTAGCTGTGTGCGCTTATGCTAATATTCTTCTGCAGTACACAACTAGTGAGACGTTACATGTCAGTTCGGATACGATGAATAACTATTTTATTGTGTTTGAAGAACTTGTAATGCTATTTTGATAGACAATAATTATTAAAGCATTTGAGAGAATACAGTACGCCCTAATCACTTTTTGGTCGGTGCAGACAGGTAAAATCTTGCCTAGTTGGCCTCTGCGGCCTCTTGCCTAGGCCTACATCTAATTTCGTTCCTTATTGAGTATTTGCAAATAGGTCTACAATATTCCTATTAAATGTTTATTCTTTAGTTGATTAGGGTCCATTGATTCAAGGCATTTCTTAATTTTTGACCTACTATTGAATTTGAAGTTACTTTCTTTGGGTTCTAATCAACCATGTTTTACGAGAGTAATTTTTAAAAATTAACCTACCACTCTTGTCAACAAATTACCCTAGCCTAGAATATATCGCGGTGCGTAATATGTACAAAAGTTAAGTTTTGCACACAAACCTAAAAAAAATCAAGTCAAGCGTACACAATGTGTAAAAAAAAATTAATAGGGTCATTCCATGTCAAATCAACCAGAGGTCCCCAGGTGACCCCCTCAGATTTTAATGAAATTTGGTCAGAATGATGATATGTTGCTCATATGAACACATGCAAAATTTGAAAGTCATACTCCATGTCGTTTTTGAGATATGGCCGTTTGAAATTTGCTGGTCATTTTATGCACTCGTGAATCGTGAAAAGTGACATTTTGAATAATTTCGGATTTCAGAATGCCATATTTTAGTCTACAGACAAGACAAAGAGCTCAAGGTTGGCATTCTGACTTACTTTTTGCCAAATTTTATGAATCTGCACTCAGATTTAATGTAATATCTTTAGATTTCAAGTTATGATTGCCTAAAGTAGGGTCCAGAATGAGCGATTAAGTTTTTTTGCAATTTTTGGTGTCACCCCGAATGAAAACTAGGGGTAACATGGGCTCCATTCTACTTGAATATAATCTATGGTCACAGGACTACATCCAAAAGTAATAACAATCCCATTAAAGCTTTAAATCAGAAAATACAGAGTCCCAAAATGGGCCCCAGCCAGAAAAATCCTTTAAATGGCTCGACGTTCGTGACCCCGGATGACCCCGCGATCAGTTGAAATANNNCTGTCGAAGATAGGTATCATAGTAATATGTACACAAAATTTCAGCTTTGCTACTCAACTCCTTCAAAGTAATGTGACAGGGTTTAAATGTGGCATTTCTGCAGTCATAATATGGCAATATAAAGTGATAAATGCAATAATTAAACAACTTGACATTAATATTTCATACAAGTTTGCATATACCAATGGTAACTATTTTTTATTTTAAACATGGGTCTTGAAAGTAAATTGTTATAAACCATACATCATGCCACACATACCAAGATAAACATTGTTTATTAATTGTTACACTGGACATTGTCAATTCAATTGATGTCACGGTTATCTCATGTTCAGACATGTTTTTCAAATAGGTTTATTTGCATGTCTCATCCAGTCCATATCACTGCAAAGTAATAAAGAGTCATTTCAGTTTGAGATAGCTATAGGAACATCTTGTCTAAAGGTGCAACACACTTTTATACACACATTTGTATTAGGCATAGTGTTGGAATATATACTTCAGATATCAACATTTAGATCATCACGATGGAGGGAACATCATCCGAGTTATCCAAATGCAGCATTGGTTTAAATTTGAATGATTCCTGCCATAAGAAAGATTTTGTGAGAGGCGATGCTGGCTTCTTTGCAGTTAATCAGATATCAGATGAGGACAAAAAACTGCTCGAGTGGAGAAGTGGATTAACATTAACACTTCATCACCAAATCACAGTCTTCATACCTGCAATAATTAAAGCAATCCTTACAACCAGACACAGCTATCATCTTATTAGATTTTGCTGAAAACTACAGTTTCCTCGTTCAAGATGCTATACAGGGCTATTACTGGGATAATAGTCAAGCCACAGTGCATCCATTTGCAGTATATCATAA